ACTTCTTAGTGCAATTAATACACATGAGAATGCCTGCAGAGTAATGCAGCCTCTGGTGGAGGGATAAATGCCAGTGGGAGGAGGGCTGATGAAGGTGATTAATAAAGATGAATATGGTTTATTTGCAGGTATGAAAATAGAACAAGACCTGCTGAAATTATTTTAAGAAGGGGGTGTGAGACAGAGTACAACAGGGGTGAGGTTGATAAGAATATATTATATACATGTGTGGAAATGTTACAATGAAGTCCCGAGTGTGTATATGTGTGTATGTGTGTGCGCGCACACACGTGTGTGAGCGTGTGCATACGTGCATGTGTGAGTGAGCACGTGCGCATGGATGCCAACCCTGGGAGTTGAACTCTGAGCTCAAGGCTAGTGCTCTACCACTTGAGGCACAGCTCCACTTTTGGATTTTTGATGTTTAATTGGAGTTAAGAGTCTCATGGACTTTCCTGCCATGGTTAGCTTTGAACCAGGATTCTAAAATCTCAGCCTGCTAAGTAGCTAGGATTACAAGTGTGAATCATCAGTGCCTGGCTAATGAAACTATTCTTGTTCAACTAATGTATGCGAAAAAAAAGGCCCCCTAAAAAAACTGGTCCTAAACTATGAGATATAGACTTTGTGAATTTTCCTTTTCCCATTTCATTTCATATAGTTTATACTTTCTCCGAACTTGGGAGAATTCAGCTTCCAGAATGAACTTTCTCACCTGGATTGAATCAGGCAGGCTCATCCCCTTGCAATGTTTAGTACTTCTACTTATTAAGATCCTATTATTATTTTTTAGATTTGGTAAAGATGTCATCCCTTATTCTATAAGCTGTATATTCTTACTCTCTGATGCCCATTTTTAATATGCCTATGCTCCTGCTCTCTTATAGTTATCTGTGCACTGTCTTTATTGTTCTTGCTGGATTTCAAGTCCTTGGGACAGTGATGATGACAGTGATAACTAAAATGTGCTCCCGTCATCATGTGCCTATACCATACCCTACCCTCTGTGCAAACCATGTAACTTCCTTACTTCAACAGCTCTGTGAGGAAATATAACCACTGTTAGATGTGATTAAGTAATATACCCAAGGCATCCTAGGAAATGGCAGAGCCAAAAAAAGAAAAAGAAAATAATAATTTAGGTCTGCCTGATTTTAAAAGCCATGTTTTATTTACTATGTGTTATTCCTCACCATTCATAGACTTGGCAGATAACCTTAAAATAAAACATGCCCATACATCATAATCTATGAAATAGTTTTGTTAGAGTCTCAGTAGCTCTATTTCCCAGTTCTTATTTTTGTTATTTTAAAAATAGGGGCTTGCTCTTTCTCCAGAACTGTTTTGGATTACAATCTTTCTATTTGTGCTCTTTGAGTAGTTGGGATGACAGGCACGTGCTAATATACCCAGCTTTTCATAGATTAAGATAGAGTCTCAACAACTTTTTGCCTGAGCTAGCCTTCAACTGTAATCCTCCTAATAGTCTGCCTCCCAAGTAGCTAAGATTACAGGCATAAACCACCTCAGCTGATTAGATTCTAACTGTTAGAGGATGAAAATATGAAAAAATTATGCTGTAATATTAAACAGATTATAAAATGTAAAGCGAGAACAAAAAGTCCTAATTCACCTGGATAAGGAATAGTCTAACTTTGTGTCTTTCCTTGGACTCTCAAGGTCAGGGGAGCAATGAATCAAGGCCACTCCCAAAGCCTTACCTGAATTGTTTAAACTACATTTAGAGAGTCTTCAAGTAATTCTAGTTTCTGAAGTTCTGACAGTGGCCCTCTCAAAAAAAAAAAAAAAAGAGAGTGAGAATAACTGCAAAGTCAAACAGCCTCTGGTGGAGGGATAAATGCCAGTGGGAGTCAGAAGGGCTAATGAAGGTGATTAATGTAGAGTCCTAGTTCACATATAAGCAGATGAAATAATACATGGCATACATAAGTATCAACAGAAAGAAAGCTGTGGCTGTTGCTCTTTATATATAAGGGACTAAAGGCTGTAATTCTCTGAGAGATAATCATTACATAGTTTAATTTTCATCACAACAAATAACCTTACAACAGAGAATTCTGTATGACAAAAGTCCTCTCAAGGTTGGCTGACAGCCCATGCATTTCAGGCAATATTTTATGTGAGACTTGGGGTTCACAGGAATGGGAATTGACCTGTATTTCCAAAGGTGAGATTTGAATGATTTCATCTGTAACTCTGAGCCCATGGCATCCTGAGATGGAGCGATGCATGATCCAAACGCAAAGGCAGAGATGAAATCCACTGTGTTTTAAAAGGGCGAAAATTCCTTCCTTTCACTGGGGAGCTCTTAGGTCAAGGAGAAACTTCTGACTCAAATCAAGAAATGGAGATCAGAGCTAGTTTCTGGTTTCATTGCAGAGAGGAAAAATGATGCAAATACATGAAGAAGGATGTGAAAATCTCTACCTGACATATCTGCTGGGTAAACTAGACTACAATTGTTAGGGTTTTTTTGAGCCTTAGTTTCTTCTTCTCTAAAATGTGACTAATATAAATCTACTTCAAGAGGTTGGTAAAAGCCAGATGAAAATACACACAAAGTTTCTAATCCAAAGCTCCCAAAGTTCCTTCATGAAGCTTCCTTCCCTAAGATCTATAGCTTCTGCATATTTTTTTCCACGAAATTAGTTAGAAGATTTATTAAGTGGAAGTTCACAAAGGTATAGACTCACATACAGTCTGGATAAGGTATTGCTTAAAGGTATTTACTTAAGTAGGAGAAAGATCTTTGGGCTAAGGCAAGAATATGCAAAAGCTACAAAGTGCTAATGAGCAGGTGTCATCAGTAAGTGAGCTCTGATTCTGTGAGAGCTCATTCTGAGAAATAATAGAACCAAAAATTCTGTCACATTTTTCTAGCTGAGGATGAACTATGGTCACTGCTCTGGCCTATTTTTCTTTTGGGTGATATTCTAAGTGTGGGAGGGCCCTTATGTGGCAATTCCTTAGCTTGTGCTATGTATTACACAATTTCTCCTCAGAAGGATGCTGTGCAAGTACTAGACTAGCCTCAATTTAGGAAACATCTGGACAAATAGCTTCATAATATATTCAGTAATAGTTCTCAATATTGTTCTAATTCCTCCAGTTTTTTTTATTCTATTGATGTTTGGATAACTAATTTCCTATTTTTCAAAGTATAGGTTGATTAAGTTTGAAGTGACAAAATTCTGTGGCCTCTTTTCAACAACCTTAGTGTCACCTTTTATGAACTAGAGTCTTATGAACATAACTTAAAGGAAAGTCTGTCTTTAAAAAAATGAGTACTGCAACTAGGTTTTTAAATTCTTTTTTTTTGAAGGGGGGGTTTCCGGTCGTGGGGCCTGAACTCTGGGCCTGGGCACTATCCTTCAGCTCTTCAGCTCAAGGCTAGCACTCTACCACTTGAGCCACAGCACCACTTCCGGCTTTTTTCCTTTTTGCTTATGTGGTGCTGAGGAATCGAACCCAGGGCCTCAGGCATGCAAGGCCAGCGCTCTACTACTGAGCCACCTTCCCAGCCCCGGTTTTTAAATTCTTTAAAAAAAAGTTATCCAAAACCTTGCCAGACCAAGAGATGGCCCAGCATTTTTCAGTCAGAAGATTTCTCCTTGACAGTAAAAGGCTCAAGAAAAGTTATGAGCCAATATCCATTTGCCTAACTAAACAGCACATACAAGCCAGATATGGGTGGCTTACACCTATATTCCTAGATATTCAAGAGGCCTCAGCCTCTGAGATTTGAGGTTCAAAGCCAGCCTGGACAGAAAAGTCTATAAGACTCCATTTCCAATTAACCAGCAAAATGCCAGATGGGAGGTATAGCTTAAGTGGTAGAATGCCAGCTGTGAGTAATAAAGCCAAACCAGAGCACAAAGCCTTGAGTTCAAGCCCTCATACCAGCGCGCGCACACACACACACACACACACACACACACACACACACACACACTCATATAAGCAAAACAATGAGCTTTCTTAATGAAATGCTATGTTAAAAAATAGGCTGGGCATGTCTCAGATGTATATATACTATTAAAACACAGAGAAAAAGGAACTGGAGATTTCAGAGATGAACATCCGTGTGAAGACCAAATGGTTAAAGCGGGAAGGTTAAAATAGCGATAGAATCCAAGTGGCAGCAACAGAAAAGATATTTTAAATTCAGTCTGCACATAGCTGACAAAGTAGGACTCGAATACACAGAGGCATCTCTGGTTCCTGTTCTCTGTTTTAATAACTGCTACCTCCATCCCCATCCCCATCATCTTAAAATGGAGGCAGGAATGAGCACTGGATTGTACACTTTAATCTTACCACCAATAAGGGCGTAAACCTCAAAGCATTTCTGAAGGTGTGCTAACTATCTCAAACCACTAGAGTGCTACTACTCCTGGCTCCGAAATGCACACTTCACTTAATGATCCCCGCTATCCCCCAGAATGGTCGTCTCTCCTAAAACTGAGCCCTTATTTTCTTGCACCAGTAGTATCACAGTAACAGTTTATAAGACATGTTGAGGTCCCCACAGGCTGTGGGAAGTGAAATACAATTGTAATTATAAAAGAAGTCATAGGAAGGAAGCATAGAAAGAGTTACAGAGCTGAGAAACACTGTTCCTCAGAAGAGCTGCCACCCCACCCAGGAAGAATCAGGACTGCCTAGAAAGTGACCTCACAGGAGCAATCAGGTGCTTGCACAGAGGCTGGGCAGTGTCCCTGCCCTCCCTCCTGTGTCCCACCTGTCCCAGTGGGCAGGCAGTTGCACAGGGAGGAGCTGAGAGAAGAGCAGCCAGAGCACCAAGGGCTGCCAGCATCAGCTGCTTCCAGCCAGCACTCTCTCCTTCTCTGCCTCCCTCCCTCCTGCTGGCTGAGGGCTCTGGGTAGCTCTGGGTAGTCCAATGATGCCCATAACAGCCTCAATGCCCACTGGGCACTTGGGCCAACCCCCATTGTACGCACACCCCATGCTGTCCGTACCTTTACTCTGGGGAGGGTTCTGACTCCGGTCCCGGAGGACGTTGATCTGGTAGACAGCTCCATAAGGCTCAAAAAGTTCTTTCAGCTCCTTTTCTGACCATGACCGGGGGATCTGTCCGACAAACATCTTAATGGCATCTGGGTCTGGCTGGTCTGAGTGATCCAAAGCTCCGTTCATCTTGTTGGCTGTGCCGTTACTGTCAAAAACGGAACCAGGAGCCAGAGTTAGGGCTGCAGGGTGAGGGACGGGAAGAAAAAAAGAGTGGGGGTGGGGGTGAGGCGGCGGAAGGAAGAGGAAGAGGAGCACAGGGGAAAGTGCCCAACGAGTCGTAGAAATTGGATGAACTAAAACAAAGCAGAGGCACCATTAGGTCGCTCTTCGGCGGCAGTAAGGAGGCTTTTACTGCATGCTGTTCAGCACTGCCTCCTGAGCACAGGGCAGCGCTGGGCTGCTTGTCACCCAGGGCGTGGACATCTCAGAACCAGGCTTGGGAGGCAGCTGCGAGTTAAGTGCAGGTCTCAATCTGCCAGGCTGCCATCAACACGGCAGAGCAGAGGCAGCGTTATCAGCTCTGCGTTCACTGTCACTGGGAAAGAAAGGCAGGGTTGGGTGTCTGCTGGATCTCTTTCTCTTTTCCCCCACTCCCCACCCTTTTTTGGAGATTTTTGGGAGACAGGAGAGAGGTGGTAATAATAAAGTCACATGGGAAGAAAATGAAAACACTTGGCAGTTGTCAGATGACTAATGCAAGATGCTGGTGATGAATTTGCAGAGTGCGCGAGGCATCCATGTGTGCATCAAATTAGTACGTTGTTGCTGCTCAGAATGGAAAGCGCTCCAGCCACGCAGCTCAGTGCTGCTGATTGGCTGCCCACACTGGAGAAAAGGGCTGGAGCTGGGAGGGGGCTCCCTTTAAAAAGCACATTGTTTAAGGGACCTGGGCACAAAGGGCTTAATTCACAGAGGCAAAAGCATCTTAGAATCGCCTTTGTGCTGAAAAAGAAAAAAAAAAAAGCAGCCCCAGAAAGTTGAGTTCCCACTAAAGGACACTGAATATTTCAAATCTTTCACACTCCATAAATTGCTCTCTGTATATCTGACTTCCAGATGTAGCACTTAAGTTCTAAACAATCACATATTGGGGGGGGGAGTCTGTCTTTTCTTCTCTGAGCTTCAGTAAATATTTGGGGCTGATACAAAGAACAAAACCATAAGCTTTTACACCTCTGTCTTCCTAATGTTGTTTCCCAAATTCCTGTTTGAAGGACAGTATTTGTTTGAGGCCTGCAGTTCTGGTCACCATCATGCAATATGAAGACATTCCTTCTTTCCTTGAACTCTCATTGGAACTATAGTAAATTATCAAAGCAAAATCACATAGCTTTTTCTTCTCTGTCTCCCCACATATGGTACTGTATACCAGCTACTCTGCCAAGAAGAAGACTCAATGAATGCCTCTCAACAGCACTCATTTGCAGTGCAGAGCTCTTGGTTCAGCTACTCAGCTCAAAATACAAGGTGCTGGAAGAGCTGAAAGTGGACAGACCCCTAGCAGCACCTACACAGCCCTGTCGGTGACCACCCAGCTCAGTGCAAAAGGTTAAAAGGGGTAACAGTGACTACAACCCAACTGTAAATGGCAGATGTGATTCTTCTGAAGCCTCAGGGAAATATTCAACAAATAATCCAAAAAGAACACTTTAAATCTTTGGCGGGTCTAGCCTTATCTTGTATACTTTGGAAGAAAGAAAAGAACACGAATGCCCCTAAGCCGAGGGAAAAGAGAAATCTCGAATTAGATTTAATCTAAAGAGGAAAATGATGGCAAATATTCTTTGCTAGGTCTGGCCTCCGATTTCTACTTCTTATCCCCTTATTTTACCACTTTGTTTTATCCTTGTGATAAACAATCAGACTGTCTCACTTGAAGCATTTTTGGAGCTTTCTCTAATCAGTCTTATTGTTATAAAAATGTTCTGCTGAATAAAATACTGAGCACAGAATCTTCTTTCATCAATTTAGGTATAATGTAATGGTTGTTTATATTAGAGCTGTTCTTATGCACCTATACTTCTTGTCCACTCGCTCTGAGAATTCAATGAGCACTTTAACCCTGTGAAGTTGTACCTGTGAGGCAGGGGGTGGTGGCAGAGGCCAATGCAGCACAGAAGCAGTGTTCACAGCACAATGAGAACCGAGAGTGTGGCAAGACTTATTTCTGGGACAGGAAGGACTTGTGGTTATTGCTGTTGACAACTAGCTAGAGTGCAAGGAGGAAGGTACCGCCACAGGTCTTAGCTAATGGAGAAGAAGCTCAAAAAGAAAAAGAAAGAAAAGAGTTGCATCTTGTCTGTACAGACCATGATTAATATTAGACAAGGTAGGCCATGGCACACTGTCCTAATATCTAAACTTAGAATTCTAGAGCAAACATTCCTCAGTGTTTCTTTTTGAGAAAGGCCTATGCCTTTCTCAAAAAAACATAAACCACTGAGTGATATAAAAGGACAAGAGCTGAGAAGGTTGAAGGTTTGTATCCTAGATCTTAAGTTCACTATTACCATCCCCCTCAGTCAGCTGACTGTCCTGGAATAATAATACATTTTAGATACTAGATACTGTGTTCCATGCTTTACATTTTAAAACTCTCATAGCAATTCTATGACAAAGTAATTTTTCAGATGTCAACATCTAAGAAATAATATCCTTTCCTAAGGTTACAAGCTTATAAATTATAGAACTAGAATGCAAACCCAGGTACACTGAGCTGCAAAGTATTTCTAATCCACTATGTGGCCTTCTATTCATTCTGATTTGTGTTGACAGTGAACATCTCATAGAAAATGAATAAGAAGACAAAATCAAGAGCAAGTCTTACTGGATCCCAAGAATCACATTGCAAACACACAGTAGCATTAAAAGAAGTACTTTCTTCCTTCCATTTGTGGGAAAAAATGGTGCAAAGCACTGGATTTGGGTCCTTTAAGGCTACTTTAAAATCTCTGTCTTCTCAATTATCACCTAAGAGTGTTTCAGTCCCCATTTATCTCTTTATAAAAAAATTTATTGTAAAGGTGATATACAGGAGTTAGTTACATAAGTCTGGTAGTAAGTACATTTTTTTGGGACAGTGTTACTCCCTCCCTCATTTTCTCCTAGTTTTTGCCTTCCCTTCTTTATTCCTGCAGCATCACACTGTGGAGTATCTCTCATGCATAGTTACTTGTATTTTTGCAAATAACCTCTCAATTATATGCATAAAGTGCAAAGGTCACTACAATCCTATCCTTAAGTAACTCCAATCATGTCTTCTTGTTGGATCAGTTAAAAATACCATCACCACACCTTCTGTCCCAGTGAGAAGCTTTTATTTGGAACAGGTGGTATATCTCACTGACTACTCCCCGTTGTTAACCTCATACCAAGAGAATCCTATGTCTTCTTACACACTGGTTAATTTCCCTGTAACCCATCAAAGCTTCCAAACCTTAGCTTGTTTCTAGATACTCAATGATTCCTTTTGCACTTTTGATGTGGGTGCAGACACTTCTAAACAAGCCAGAAATTATATCTTTGAAGTTAAACCTTTGGGGCTTACTTATAAGAGGCTATATAAAGCCAATGTGTTCCTCACAGACAACAACTAAGGGCACAATTTTTCAAACCTCTGAAAGATCCTCAGAGTAAAACTTTTGATTTACTTATTTATTTTGGCAATACCTTGAATTGAACTCGGGGACTTTACCCAGCTGGCACTTTAGTATTTGAGCCATATCTCCATACCTGCTTTTTGCTGTTGTTTAGAGATGGGATCTCATGGACTTTTCTGCCTGCCTGAGATGGACCTTGATGCTCTAGATCTCAACCTCCTGAGTAGCTAGGATTACAGGCATGAGCCATAGTTAGTGGCTCAGTAAGATCTTTAACTTAAGAATCTGATTGGCTTAGGCAATTTGACTAGCCTGTTTCTCCTTAGTCATCATTAGCACATTAGCACACAGTACGTTCTAAAATGCAGACACTTAAGTTTCAAATTCAAATAATAATAACTGAAGGCCTACTACTCTGTCAGGAATCTTTGTCAAGTGCTTGACATACAATATCATGGTTTCAGTTCGAATCATCTTCATTTTGGAGTTGAAGCAACTGATTGTCATAGAGGTGATGTACCTTTTCCAATGTCATACCTTAAGGAAAAGGACTATAGAATGTGGATTTATCCAAAGTCATCTCCTCCTATCTTCTCCAGTGTAGTGATCCTGAGTGCCAATTCAGCTTTGGCTCTTGTCAAGGGAGTCACTGGAAAGCTCCTTTGGGCCAGATGCCATATGGAATGAGACCATAAGTCGGAGAGTATGAAGCCAGTGAATATTGTTACTATCAGTCTCTAAGCCAAGATGAAAGCATAATGATGTTGGGGGCAAAAAAATCAGAATGCTTACTTCTTGCTTGTAGCACAGCACCGACCTACTTCCCTACTTTATTTTCTAGTAAAATGAACTAGATAAAAAACGGATTTGCAAATTTTTCTGAGGTGTCTCTAAAGAAGTTAAATATCATTAAAATATAACAACTGACTCAATACACTATTAATTCCAGGGCAATAAGCTTTTTATAAGGGCAATTGATTTGTGGGTTTCCTTTCGGAGAAAAGAAATGAGAAATAAGATTTCTAATCTTCCAGTTTGTAAAAAGAAGATCAATAAATTTACAAAATGGCTATAAGAAATGTCACATGGCCATAAATAGCTGTATTAATGTTCCCCAAAATGACATAAAATGTCATCTTCAGCACGTATGCTTAACCAAAAACTATACAAAAAGATGACTGTCTTAGGAAAGTGTTGTCTGAAGATAGCTAATCCCTTGGTACTTATCTATAATTTTTTTATTCCAATATTTTTGTTGTTGTTCTTTGGAGTGGCTTACATGCTACAAAACTGTGTGCCATGATAGAAATGACCCAAAGCTGAACAATCCACTGTGGCATTGCAGTGACTAGCTTTCATGTAGCCATCAAGTACTTCAAATGTGGCTTATCAGTGGAAGACTTTAATTTTTATTTTATTTAAATGAGTCCAGACAAAAATGTATTTCTCCCTTAAAAAAACTGATTGGAGTTGAAATTCATCTATATGTATCAGTCTGTGGAGGTGCTTTGTAAAAGTAGTAATGCAAAGCCAGAAAAATGATATAATTAGTAGAGGTGCTCAACTGCAGGTTGATGGATAGGAGGCTGGCTAGCCTGGGTTCTGGTCCTGATTTACCATTCATTGACCTGTGTGACCTCAAGCAAATCACATAAATACCCTGTAACTCAGTTTCCTCTCTTGTAAGAAGAGATAAAAAGAAGCTTCAATCTGGTTCTTAATTTCTATAATTCTGTGGATTTGGTTTACATGCAGAGCCTGACTTATGGAAAAGATGATTTAAATAATATGATCAGCTACCTGAAACCTTGGTATTATTTTTGCCTTGCATGTCCAATTCATTCTTTTCCAAGCTCACGGACAACTATGCAGAGGTCAGAGAGTAGACAAGATGTCATGTAATACAGGTGTGGGAAGAATCACGGGCTCAGACAGAGCTGTGAGTGGCCAGCTGTTAGGGGTGCTGCTAGAGAACTATCCATCTCAATTTAAGTCAGGGCTCTTTCTAACAACCTTAGCTGATGTCCCCTCATTTCAGTCAGCTGACCAGTCACGCTTTCAAAGGACTCGCCAATCATTTTCTTAGGATCACTGTGTAA